CATCTGGTGAAAATTTCATGTCATTAGCACCTCTAGTAATATATTTACTGAGAAAAATGGTGACGTGTTCAATACTTATTTTACCCGCTGTATTGTTATTTTGACTCTGTTTTTCTTGTTGAATCTTTTCAGAGAAAGATGAGACATCTCAGGCATCGACTCTGCCAGTGCACACAGTAAGAAGCACCATGTCCTTATTTAACAAAAAAACAAAAACAAAAACAAACACTCACTCAGCTGTCAAATTTAAAAATCTAAACAATTTCAGCTTTAATGGAAATAAATAAAAGCATTAATGTTTGTATTTTGTTTTTTCAGCCCGAAGCCCAAAGGATTCTACAAGACCTAACAGGGAGACATTCACATAAGGACATAAAAAAATTGCTGGATTTCTGTTCTAAAAATAATCACTTTTACTAAAATCTCCTCCTCTACTTGTCTACAGTCATTTCAGAAAAAAAGGATGAGAAATTGTGAAAAATATGTTGATATAAAAAGATAATGCAATTATTCAAGCTTGTTTAATCAAAATATTATACAAATGACATTTTTTAAATTGTGTGCATGTTTTCAACAGTATTAGATTTCATTTAAACAAGGCTAAAACTGAAATGTTTGATTTGATAAAGCATAAAAATGTTTTTAAAGGTTAAAATACGAGCAAAACCTTTCCTAAAAGAGCTGCAGCTTCAAGCTTATTTCATTTTATCTATATGTTTTAAATTTAAATATTATCTTTTTATCTCTTCACTTTTCATGTTGTTTCTTCTGAACTTTTACCAATTTTGTCCCTTTTGTTTTACTGAAATGGTGGTTTTAATGTTTGGTTTTATTTATCGTACAGCACTTTGGTCCCACTTGACATTTTATTGTTGACATTATTGTTCCWTCTGGTGCCACTCAAGCACAAAATCCTGTCTTCTGTTTTCATGATCTGAAGGCAGAACTTCACATAAGTGTTGCTCAGAGCTCACGTTCATTTGTATCTGTTTGTATAGAWGTCAGGTCCAGATAAAGCAGAAGTGTTTCTGGGTTTTGGTTGTGTAAGTTTGTCTTTTTCATACATCAGAATGTCCTGATTCATCTCATYGATCCAGGTAGAATAATCTAACAAGGTTGACTCAGGTCCTCTGCAGGTTCTTCATTAATATCCTTTGTCTTTTGAGATGAAACATTTCAACAAAGAAGATAAGTAGAGTTTTATTATGTTTACTGATAAGGGTTTTGAAAGTAATCCATGCAGGAATGTATTTGTTGTTGTTCACAGGCAGGCAGTTTTGGCTTTCTTGACTCATTTCTTGAGACTTCATTATCTTGTTCCTTTTTTTCCCCCCAAACAATTCTTCATCCATCCATTTTTTAACCCACTTCTTATTTCCGGGTTTCTGGCAGCTGGCGCCTGTCTTCAGCAGTCRCTGTGYGAGAGGTGGGGCTTCGCCCAGGACAGGTCTCCAGACAAATGAAACAAACAAGCATTCAGACTCTCACCCATAYCTGGGGACAATTTAGAGTCACCGTTTGATGTTTTTAATTTGAAGGAGGAGACGAGAGAAAACCCACAGGTGTACATGGAGAACACATAAACTCCACACAGAAAGACCAGGAGGCAAACCTATGACCTTCTTTCTGTGAGGCGACAGCTATAACCACTGCTCTACTCAACAATTTTATGTACTAGAAATGACTGAATCCTCAAACTCCTTTTTTTTATTGATCAAACTCCTTTCTGATATTTGAAAGTATATTTTGATAGTTGAATTTTTATTTTTAGAGCAATATTCTCTTTAAATATTTACTTAAGAGGTTCCTTTTAGACTCAGTCTTTTTGTTTGTCTTCTAACAAATTTTTAGTTTTCTGACTGAGTCACAATTYGCTTTTTATTTTTAGCTAAGTTACCACCCTTTTGAAAGCAGAAACTTTCATTGTATTTTAATTGTATTGTTGAGAAATTTGATAATACTGTTTGTGTCTTTGCTTTATGTTTTTATTGTATATACAGTATATGTTTGTTTGTTTGTTTTGTTTGTTTTTCTTTTGGTGTGTAACACAYCACTCAGTAATCTTTTCATTAATCTTGGTGGTGCAAAATAAAATAAAAAATCCTCATGTTATTTTTGCCAACTTTTTATTTCTTAAAAATCTTTTTGACAAAGAAGGGGATTTTGYTTTAAACCTGAAAACAAGCTGTAAAATGTACATAAATGTCATACATGTACCATGAAGATTTCAATTAAAGGGAAGATCTTTTATCCTTGAGTTGTGTTTCTGATGTGATGTGTTAAGAGTCTTCGATCAACGGGACGGCYGGTTTCTGACAGATCCGTGGATACAAGAACCCACAAGGAACATCGTACCAGCTCTGAGTGAAGCTGTCCACCACCGCACAGTCCTCTCCCTCCGGCCCACCATCGGTGTGGTTATCTGGTTCTGATTTTTGCACATTCCAGAATCTTCACAAAGAAAATAAAATGGGGGTGAAAAGTATGAATGAACCCGAGTCATGGTGAAAACATGCTGTCAACTCAAGAAGGTGATTTTAATCACACTGCAAGCTAAACAGCACAACACTTGTCAGATGTTCTCCAAGTGAGCAAAGTGTGTCGCTTTAATTAAACAAGATGAAGCATCTCAACAACCGTTTGATTTGCAATAAAACAGGAACTGGAGGATGACTCATAAGCACCACCATGAGGTGTGAATAAGAGATGCTTGAACATTAAACAAGAACCTCTAAAGAGCTTCTGATCTTTATCAGATGAAAATGACCTCATCCTGACCTAATTCTTATTTTGTATTTTCTGCCATTGATACAACATCCACGCTATACAGAACGTTTAGCAAAAGARGAACATGCTTCCAATTGAACATATTCTCTATAGTCCTGGCAATAACTCCAAAGCTGTTTGTCAGCGATGATGATGATCCTCATGTTTGGCTGAAGATCATTCATGTCTTAAACCTTTAATGTGGYGTCATTGTGAACGTGCACAGAATTAATCTTAAGTAGGCGTAAAACTGTGTGAAACTGTTACAGTATGAAGCCTCCACTGGAGCCCATCATGTGTTTGGGGTTTGTGGGTGTTTTAAATTCAGTGTTGTTCCCYGTTTTCATCATGACCTAGGTGACCAAGTAGGTCTTTTTTCCTGTTCTCATGTTTTTCTGTCTCATTTTGTTGCTAAATCTCTCCATCAAGACTCATTTAACCTAATTTTTATGCCTATTGGAAGTGACAGATTGTAAATGATTACAAATGAAGCACCGACCAGGAGATGTTAGAAAATGGCAAGGCTTCTAAAAAATKTAATCCCATGAGTCAAATTCATTTTTTATCATCTGTGAAGTTATTCATTAGGTTTGCAGTTATACCGTAGTATAACCACAGTAAAAATACAATTATTTTGCAGTATAACTCAGTACAATTTTCAGGTCTGATACACACTTRTAACTTWATACAAAAGCATGATGTAGGTTGCATCAAGTAGAAACTCTGATCTTATCAAAAAGCAAAAAAGTGCAATTACTATCAAGCTTACAGTTTCATCCAGTTTATCTTGACTGATCACAAAAAGTGTAGCTTTTACTTGTGGTTGTGTAAATGAAATAATACCTTTAAAATCAGTAAATAGACATGGGAATGCAAATGTTAACAGAAGATGTTAACACAGAACATTTTACGCTGATGATACTCTACTGTTTTCACCAGAAATGTTTCTTTATATTAAAATAAAGAAAATCCCAACATTTTTTGAGGACTTGTTTGTTAAAATTTTTGATTGATGTTAAAATTTAATGAATGTGTCAGTCAGACATTGGTTGTTTTGTAATACATACGAAGTTGTGAGCATCGAGTTGTCCACCCATTTCCAGTCTCCTTCATTCTCAGAGTCGCTCAGTCCAATCCAGTAGAAGGTTTGGGACCATCCAAGCCTCCTGCCTTCTTTTTCCACAGCCTCCTACAGATGGGTCACATCCAAATTAAGTATTTTAAATTAAAAAAGTATGTAAAAAACATATAGAAAAACACTTACATGCTGCTCTCTCGTGGTCAAAATGGCAAGATGGGCACCAATATCTTTGCATTTCTCAGCACTGGTAGAAAAGTTCTGCTTTTTGGTGCTCAGGAAAAAGCACTGATCCTCAACCTGGAGCCAACCATCAGGGCATTCTGTGCATCTGATAGCTGCAGGGACAAAAAGACATAATTTAAACAATTTTAACCAATGATATATCAGGCATCAGTTGGAGCCTGGAGGAGGATCGTACCTGGAGCTGAGCAGTTCTGTGCCAAACTGGAGAACTGGTTACACATGAGCTTGTAATGATTCTTCATCAGCTGGAGTCGTACTTTCAGAAACTTTACTTCTTCTTCTGGGCTCTTGGGYGCCTGACAGGAGATTTCAGAAACCAAAAGGCCCATAAGGGCACAAAGAATGGTGCTGAGGTTACCTGTCAACAGAGAGCAGATTATACATTAGAACAGATTCAAACTGACCTCCAACATGACCTGCTGCAGAAAAACACCCCTCTTACCTTTCATTGTGTCTGTCAGTGAGCAGAAGATCACACGTGCTCAATCTGTGTTCTCTGGATGTTTTATAGAGCAGTTTGTGTGCTAAAGWGAAGGGAAAGTACAGATTGCACAAATGTATCCAACTGGTCAAACTGTTCATCAAAACAGGTAAACTTAGATGGTGCAATAATGGGAAAAAACACGTCTGACTCTGGCAAGTTCTCAAACTTTCTCAGTTGTGTTGGAAAAAATGTGCACGTCTATTATGTCCTTTTAAATCGGTCAATAAATATAATAAAGAAGAATTAAATTGGAGAAACTGAATRCTGAGTGTGACTAACAGCTGAAATTTGATGAACCTGAAACTGAGCTAAAAGTAGAACTCGAGCTAAAATCTAGAAAAGCAAATCTTTAGCTAAAACCTGAAAGTAGAAATAAGTAAAAGCAAAATAATAGAATAAAATGATGAGGTCAGGGCCTTTATAGGTGTGTGGAGCAGGCCCGTTACAAGGTAGGCAAACCCCAAGCTGAACCCCAAGCTGACCTGGGGCCCCCTCAGACACAATGACTAGTTTTGTCTTAAATACAACAACAAACTCTGTAAGCATTCCTTTAAATCCTATGGTGGTCAATGCAGGAAAGTGCAATATTTACCAGAATCCACCTCAATTGGCCCCCCTCCTATTAACTAAACGTACATGAGGTTGACCATGAGCCAAGAGGGGCTCACAGGACTGGCACTTATGTCAATTTAGCAACATGCTCGCARGTCTTTGGACATGGAAGAAAAGTAAAGAGCTCTCTCAAGACCTTCACAGCCTTATTGTTGCGAAGCATAATGATGGAATTGGTTACAGAAGAATGTCCAAACTTCTGAAGGTTCCAGTGAGCACTGTTGGGGCCATAATTCAGAAGTGGAAAGAAAATTATTTCACCATAAACTGACCACGACCAGGTGCTCCTCACAAGATTTCTGACAGAGGAGTGAAAAGAATTATCAGAAGAGTTTTCCAAGAGCCAAGGACCACTTGTGGAGAGCTTCAGAAAGACCGGGGGTCTCATTTATAAAGGATTGAGTGGAAACC